ACTTTCAGAAGAGTGCACGTCCAGATGAGGAGGGGCCACTGCTGCAGGAAGTCGCAGATAGGGGTAAAAACCAGGCGCGCTAAAACAGCAAGGAGGAAAATAAGCTCACCAAAGCTGAGGGTGTATTTGGTAAGTGCAGATTAATGGGGCCGGCGGGAGGCAGGGAGCCCTCTGTATGCTTGTTGTTGTGTTCCTAGGATTTAACATTTAACTCATTTTTAGACACATGTGCTATGAATGCAAACTCACTCTGAAATGCTCAGTTCTTTGGTCCTGGAACAGTAAAAAGGATGCCAAAAAATAAAAAGGTAAACACTTTTTTTGCTGCAGATATAGTCTGCTAGAGTGGAATGTAGGTCAACAAAACCCACCTGCATCTCATCTTCATCTGGCCCTCTTTCAGTGGGGGTACTCAGTGGTGGTTTGGAGGAAGGGGAGAGCCCTCCAGATCCATCTTTCAATTCCAATCTCTATCAGCTCCTCTCAGCCACTCTAAGCACAATCTACACAAAAAAGCACTTGCTAGTGAATGTAACTTCAAGAGAGGTATCCTCAGCCCCAGGCTGCCCTGCCAACATACAGAAACGGCCCTCCTTACCGATTTCTTAAATATTACCTGTGCTATCACTCGCCTCTAAACTGAGCTCTTGGGAAAACCAAGAACTGATGCTGTGAGTGTTTAAGATATATACTCACTTAGAAGATTTCCTCCATTACCAAGGTAGAAATTGTAAAGCCAAAATAAGTGACAGTAGTCCACATTCCTTATTCAAAGAAGAAAAATCACAAAACAAAAAAGAAGACTTTTCATTAAACAAGTTTACTAACCTAAGTTGGCAAAGTTGCTTTGTTACCTGCAATATAAGGAAAGATTTAACACTTGGAAATACCAGGAACGTGACACGAAGCCAGGGAGGGCCCCACAGAAGTGACAAGCTCTGTGATTATTTTCTGAACCAAACACCTAAGGCTCTCAGTGGTAACAAGTTTTGTTGGAAAAGCTTGTTTCCCCTGATCCAACAGCTGTAACTTTTTAAGTGATTTCACAGAAGACCTCAAGATTCTCAAGCCAAAGCCACTCTTTATAACATCCCCAAAATATTTACAAAATGAAACACTTTCAATCTTAACTATGTTGTGTTTGCAAACACCTTATTTGTTCTGATGACCATAATACCAACACTAAAAGGAGCCTTTTAAACGAAGTAGCTCAAATAAAACCACACACAGACATACATACATTCTTCACACCCAGAGCGTATCCACAAAGCAAGAAAGCCAGGATTCAAATTCCTTGGCACCTACTCACTGAGCTTCCATAAGCACCACCCAAGGACAAGACTGGCCGCACCCTCTTTATTGTCACACCTCCTCACTAATGGATACTTCCGAAAACCCACAGAATCCCTCTCACTGGATATTAACAGGATTCTCCAAATATTGAACAAATGTCTCCCACCCTCTTCCTCTCTCACATCAGCCAGCCTGGGACAACTGACCCTCTTCACAGAACAACTCCACCCCTGGTGAGAGAGCTACTCTCCAGCTCTTCTACCTAAATGGTGCCTCAGGAGCCGCAGGCGGCCTGGCAACAGCCTCTAGGTATCTTTGCCTTGGTCTCTCTCCCTATTCTCCTGTCATACACCTCCTGGGAAAGTTGTCTGGGCCAAGGATAGTACAATGGAGAGAAATGTAGAAATGTCTGGCTTGGGGTAATAAGAACTGTATTAAGAATTGTAGGAGGGCCGGCCCTGTGGCTTAGCGGTTGAGTGCGCGCGCTCCGCTACTGGCGGCCCGGGTTCGGATCCTGGGCGCGCACCGACGCCCCGCTTCTCCGGCCATGCTGGGGCCGCGTCCCACATACAGCAACTAGAAGGATGTGCAACTATGACGTACAACTATCTATTGGGGGGCTTTGGGGAAAAAAAAGGAGGAGGATTGGCAATAGATGTTAGCTCAGGGCCGGTCTTCCTCAGCAAAAAAAGAGGAGGATTAGCACGGATGTTAGCTCAGGGCTGATCTCCCTCACAAAAAAAAAAAAAAAAAAGAATTGTAGGAAAAAAAGTCTATGTGGATGATGTATTCCAAAAGCAAATAATTACAAAATACATCATTCTATTTCAAACACATGGAAGGCCTTTTATACTTCAAGTCACATTCCACAGGAGTTTTGGTTTATGCTGAGATGAAACTGCTTGACGGAAAGCTATGGGGAACATTATAGTTGATGACAGAACTATCAGTAGAAAGAATACAGATCTTTGATATCCAATCATGGCTCTACTACCTAATACTGATGTAACAAATATTTATTAAATACTTACCAATGGCCAAACACTGCTTTAAATACTGGAGAGACAGGGATAGACAAGACAAAGACCCTGATCTCAAAGATCTTAGGCGAGTGGGAAAAAAAACCCACACATTGGAAATGGTGTCAGAAGTATAGGAAGACAAGACGTAAACAGATAATTGAAGAGATTTTCAGTCCACAATAAGTTCTAGGACAAAAATGAAGAGTGAGTGACAACTTCTGATCCTGTTTCCTCAGGGGGATGTAGTCACCTACTTAGAATGAGATGACAAATGTCAACCATCTGGTACACAGCATCCCCAAGCATGGACCTGCCTGCAAATGCACATGCACAGAAGCTCAAAAATACACACCTTTCCTCCCTTAACTGCAGTATCTGTGATAATTCACTTTGGTCTGAAATGAAAACAGAAGGGAAACAAAGTATTTGTGTATTCAATTACACTTAATGCAATTAAGTTACACACCACTGCGTTCATAGAGAATCTATAAAAAGGCAAAACCTAAACAATTAATTCTTGATAAACAGAAGTCCAGACACTGGGATAACAGTAGTGTTAGAAATAACATTATAAATAGTAATATGGCTGCCTTGCCCACTTTGAAGGATTGCCATGAAGAGCCAGACTATTTTGCTATATACATACAAGTAAGACTCAGAGATATTAACCCAATGCCACAGTGTCAGAAGCTGGGTTTAAACTCTCATCTTCAGATTTCTTCGAGAAAAATAAAAGACACTGAACAAGTCCTTCTTCGAGTCACAGGACTTTTATACCTAGTCAACCTTAGGAAACCCTCTCTACTTCTCCCCACATCACCAAAGACCAAGGTTCCCCAGAGGTAAAGGGTTAACCCCAGAGGGCAGTAGCCAGTAATGACAGGGCCAGAGCAGGACCCAGCCTCCTACATCCCAGCCCAGCGGGCTTCTATCTCAAGGACCGGCATCCTCTAGGCAGGCTTTCAGATTCTGTGAAAACCACAAGGGACGGCTGTGACTTCCAGAATACAATTTCAGTTATTACTTGTCCCTAAAAACTCCCCAGGACTTGCACCGAGGGCAAACTGAGGACCTTTACTGACGGCCCAGGAGCTCTCTTCCTCCAGAACAGAGGAGAGCTCCCTCCTTGAGAAAGCGGCCTCCAACCGGGTGATAGACGTTATTAGGAAAATGATGCAGCTAGCCCGAAGGGGGAAGAAGATCTTTCAACCATAATTTTCGCAGTTTGCCTCAGGAAAAAGGCTCCAAACAATTATTTCTGGGGAGGGAGGTGGGGAGACGAGCTACGGGCACGCGAGAGGGAAAGGGGTCTAAGAACTGTGTCCAAGCTGTTTACAAGAGAATGGAGAGAACCTCGGGGCTGTGAAACTCGTAAGAAGGAAAGAGCAGCTGGGCCCAGGGCGAGCACTTGACCACACCCACTGGCCACGCCCACCCAGCTGCCCGCAGAGCCACATCGAATCGAAACAGCAGTGGGAGCAGTTAAGATTCCGACGGCAGGAGTCGCCATGGCAACGGGATTCATCTTGCAGACAAACTCCAATTCACTAGGTCCTTCTCGAGCCTCAAGAAACTACCAGCTCAATGGGAGCAAAACGGTCACGGGTGGCATTTGCTCTTGATGCTCTCCTGCGGGCAGAGATGGGGGGCTGGGAGATGGAGTGTAGGTATCCATTCCTGGGCACCCTAAAATATTTTATGGGGCAAGAGACAGAACATCCAACCTCAGGCTGTGAGCAACTTGAGAACCGAGCCACGAGCAGGGTTTGATGAATGAGTGAGTAAGCGAAAGAATACGGTGCTAAGGACAGTGAAAGGAAATCCAGAGGATTTTACAATAGTGTTCTCGCGCCTCACGCACGTCTCCAGTCCGAGAGCAAGGGGATCACAAGCAGCTGGGTTTTCGGCACCAGCTGGGAAAACCCGATTACCCAGCCCTCCTGCCCCAGAGCGCTCCTTATCATTAGATTATTTGACATCCCGCACCGCCTTACCCCCTCCCAGCCCAGGGCTCAGGGCAGACGCTTAGCCCCAGTTCAGGTGCTCTTTGTTGAGGGAGCAATCAGTGCAGGGGGGACCGAGATGCGCCCTCCCCAGAGGGACGGGAGGCAGGAGCACTCTGCTGCGCCTCGAACCCGGGCCGCAGCCTCCCCGCGCCGCCGTCTGCCAACACCCCTTGCTCCTTCCGCAGCGCGGGTTTCCCTCCTCTTTTAGACCTTTAGCGTCCAACTTTGCCTGAATTATAGTCACCCCATTTCTTTCGAGTGAGGCCTGAAGTGAGGGTGCCAAGGACGGTGGGGGTCCCGCTCCGACGCGGACGGGTAAACGAGTCCCTCCTTCCTCGTCGCCACCTCCGAGTGCACGATTCTCCCTCTCGGAGCCTCCCGGGCCAGCGGCTCCCGACAGCAAAAGTACCCATAAGTCCCCAGCCGAGGCCACGACCCCCAGCGCCCCAGCCCCGGGGTATCTGCAGCAAGGTGGCGAGTGGTACCCTGCCGGCTCTCTTGGCATCCAAGCGCCTCAGAAAGAAAAGAGGGAGGGACGCCCGTCCTTGGAGGCGCCTTCCCCCGAGCTCGCCTTGCTTTGCGCGGTGCTTGCAGCCATTTTCCCAAACCCAGCTTGGCAGCCGGGAGTTAGGTCCCGTTCCCACCCAGACGCAACCTGAAGGACGGGTTTAATATTTACCTACTGGCCCGGGAGCTCTGGGCAGGCAGCGAGAGGGCGCGCCGGGAACCCAGCGCCCGGGCCGAAGAAGCGCGCCCACCCCCGCGCCACCGCGCGGTACCACTCAATGAATGAGTGCGTCGAGCCAGGCGGCGCGCCCCCTTACCTGAGCAGCCCCCGCATGCTGGAAAGGCGGCTCCGCGCTCCGGGTACAATGGGATCCGGTTAAATAGTTTCCTTCACAGCTGCTCGTAGGTTACCAACTCGCAGGTGACATCACCCTCTCCTAGCCTGATAGGATACAATGTGGCGCCCATTGCGCATGGACTCCCTGGCTGGGCCCGCAGACTCCTGGGAGCTGTAGTCCCGATCCCTCAAGCAGAGCCGGAGTAGCCCCGCTACTGCGGTTCGCGAAACTACCCTTCCCGACGTAATCATCGGCCGCTTCGTCCCCGCCCCTAGCCCCGCCCCCGCCGGGACCCGCCCCCTCCCCGCCCTCCAGCCTTGCAGTGTTAGCGGTGGTCGTGCAGAAGCGTGCCGACAGCGCTGGGAGGGGTAGTGAGCTCTGCGGTCGTGCCCTTTGACTTGACCTCCTCTCGGCCCGGTGCTTGCTCTGAGGGCCCCAAGGGGTCCAGGGCTAGAGCGCACCGGCCCGGCAATTCTGACCAACCCGGCTCTTTGGCCCCAGCTGGAAAGAGAAGATGAAGCCTTTCACTACCTTCACTACGAGCGGTAACAAATTAATAGGACGCGCTGGTTTCTGGGTTAAACGCGGTCTGGAATTCCCCCGCGTCCCCGAGCGTGAGGCGACGCCGATCCCGAAGGAGAGAAATCCTCGTGTGCCCCCCTTGATACAAATCACCTTTCTTTTCCTCTTTCCTTCTCCCAGTTAAGGGAGTCCGGGTGACCAACCGGAGCGCAGGGAACAGCTTAGTTGGCTCAGCTGACGGAATAGCGGAGGCTGTCACTAATAAAAATGCGGTGCAGTAGACTGACGTCGCCGCAGCCCTCCGTCGGGGAGCCTGCTGCTGCTGCGGAGATAGTACTATCGCGCGGCCATGCTTTTGTTCTTCCTTGCAGCGGACTTCCCGCTCCGATGGCTCTCAACTCCCGGGAAGACAACATCCTTGTCTAAAGTTTTAATAAATGACATACATATGTATACATGTACTTTTAAATCCACAACACCCTCCCCTCATTCTCCATACCTTTCTCTTCAAATATTTTTAAATGACCTAAACCACTCAGCATCCTGCTGTTCAAGAATCGACGTGATCTTAATACATCTAAATGTTTATTTAAAGGTAAGCAAAAGGTGTGTAGTAGAATTGTAAACTTTAGGAAGATTTTATTTTTAATATGTAAAATTTTTCCGTGGCATTTTTCATTATTCAATAAATACCAAATATTATGAAAAATTAACATGGAGAGCAAATCTCCAGGTCTTTTTAAAAGAAAAAAATCAATACAGCTAGTTACTCCAGTTAGAAAATAAATTATAAAGGCATTTGATGTCTCAAACATATGAGGATCAGCTCACACCCCTATTTCCACTAGCAAAATCTCTAGAAGACTGTACATCTTGTGAAAAGAATGTTCACAATTAAGATTTCAAAGAATTCTCCACCTAATTGTTGATGGAAGTCTTCTTATCACTCATTTTCTCAATTCATTGTGCAACAATAACTTGGGTACAAGAGAAAAATATTCTTGGAGCTAGTTGAGGACCTCAGGGGAGAGGGAAATGCTTTGTTTTGCTGAGAGAGGGGTTTTAGTGCTTAATTCTGACTTTCTTTTAACAAGCTTACTCCTTGTAGACCAGACACATTTTTCTCCACTGAAGGAAGATAACTTTGAATCTTGCTCTCCTGTTCTGAGCTATTCCATCCTTTCCAAATATTGTATTAAATGGAACCCAGACAATACAAATGTTCCACTAGCCATCAGATCACAATCACTGATATTCTAGCTAATGGGTAGGCTTAATGTATTGCAGCTGATTGTGGAAAAATATTCAGAAAGAAACTTGACCTGGGATGACTCTAAAAGCTCTCCCAGTTTTATAACTGTGTAAAGCTTTTAGATGGAAATGTAATCAGTAAGCCTGAAATTTATTGAGTCAAGTTGGATGGGGAGGTTGTTTATAAGGCAGGGCTTATCCTTATAGATAAAAGTATATTATTGAGGAGGAGTAACTTTATAGGACAAATCACCTTACAGCAAGTTCTGTTGGGTCTTCAGCAATGAAGGAGAAAATGGAGTTTGCCTGAAGAAAAAAATTCCATTCTTTATAGCAATTAATATTAAAGGCATGTGTCATGTTACACAGCTCATTTCCATATATAAAGGACATCATACGTAATAAACTGTAAGCACAGAAATGGGTGGATGTGCATGTGTGAGCTGTTCTCATTAAGTAGATATAACTATAAATAATAAATATTAAAAGCATGACTGTGTTTGGAAGCATTTTGCTATAAGCGTGATGGGTCTGAACTGATCCCTGCACACTGTTTCGCTGGTAACCAGGGGAAACAAAGAAGGCTCTTCAGCATCAGAAATGCAGTCTGTGGACCTGGGACAAGAGGAAGCTTAACAACCTCTACGGAGACAGAAAGGAACTCACTCTCTGTCTCTCTGTCTGTCTCTTTCTCTCTCTCTCTCTCTCTCTCACACACACACACACACACACACACACACACACGCTTATTGTGTGTGTTTGTATTCTTTCTAGGTAACTAAGTAGTCTCATAAGCCGTCAAAAACACCCACTCTGTCTAGCTTAATTTATATTCTCAAAGGATTTCTTTTTTTCTTCTTTTTAAATGACTGCTGCTGTTCTGGAATGATCTTATGAAAGACCTCGTCTTCTCCCCAAATCATTGCCTACTAATTAGGAGCCTCTGGGACCACTGAGAACAGACTTAAATTGATCATCCACAGGTGGAGGAGGGGGAAAGAAGCCATGGGGCATTTTGCTGATCTTTCAAAATAACCTCTTGCAGTTCTGGTTACAAAGTTGTGCTCTAGATAATTAGGTTTTAGATAAGGGAGGAAATGAGATATCAACAGAGAAAGAATTTAAGTTTGCAGCCTTGCATGTGTTTTACACAATAGCTTGGTGTTTTGCAACAGTTGAGGTGTGTGGAGCCCAGGTTTGGGATCACGCCATTTCACCACTTTTAAGCAGTTAATTGTGTATGACTTTGCTGGCTCTGCGTTGTTTATTCTCTCTGAGCCTCAGTTCCTTATCTTAAAAATGGGGCTAACAATAAAACCTACTTCACAAGGTTTTTGAGGATTAAATTAGATGAGACATAAAAACACTTTTCAAATTCAAAAGAACTATACAAATGTGAGTGCTTGTTATCATTTGCAATTTCCCCCTGAAGGTTATCTCACAAATGTCAGCCCTAATTATGGAACAAATTAATAAAAACCTATTTAAATTAGGAGGGCGGCCTTGTGGCCTGGTGATTAAATTTCTGTGCACTCTGCTTGGGCGGCCCAGGTTCCGAGGTTCAGATCCCAGGCGCAGACCCACACCACTTGTCAGCCATCCTGTGGCGGCATCCCACATACAAGATAGAGGAAGACTGGCACAGATGTTAGCTCAGGGCTAATCGCCCTCAAGCAAAGCAAGAGGAAGACTGGCAGCAGATGTTAGCTCAAGACAAAACTTCTTCAGCAAAAAAAAAAAACGGGGGGCCGGCCCAGTGGTGTAGTGGTTAAGTTCACGTGCTCCACTTTGGTGGCCTAGGGTTTGTGGGTTTGGATGCTGGGTGCAGACCTACATACCGCTCATCAAGCCATGCTGTGGCAGCGTCCCACATGCAAAAAAAAATTAAAAAGATCTTATTCTTAACAAGAAACTGTTGGAGATTATACAGCATACAGCATGCACGTATGATTTCACACAAAATGTACTTTGAAGAAAAAAATGAGAAATCCACTTTGAACCCTGCTGGTCCTCCGCTTGTTTTCAGATCCATACCTGGTCCTTCTGCAGTGCCCCAAGCTGTCCTCAGTATCGCTGGCGATCTTCCCCAAGCTTCCCAGCATGGAGGCACTGCTGGGAGATTGGAGGGGGAGGAAGGGAGCAGCTGGGGCATTTTTCCACCTCTGCAGAGTTGCGCTGGGTGATGTTTCCGGCAGCGGCAGCACTTCCCCTGTTGGACTGGTCGGTCGTGGTTCCAGCGTCTTCCAGGTCACCTCTGCCTCTATCAACGCCACCTTCTCCCCTTGTCCCTCCAGCCTAGGGGTGGAGGTAGCTTCCTGCTGTTGCTAATCTCTCCTTGCTTGTTTGGCTTCTCAGGCCTTCTGTCACCAGTGTGACCAATTCCCTGTCCTCTCTCTGTCTTAAATACTTAGAATGGTTTTTCTTTTCCTGGTAGAACAGTTAACTGATATCCTCATGATTTAGTTCAAGTTTTTTTAGGGGCAAGCAACAGAAATTTTCTATGACAAGTTTATGCACAATAAAGAAAGTAATAGGATTTATTCAGAGGATTAAACAACCAAGGGGCCACCTAAGAAGAGGCATGAACCAGACCAGCTCTGGGAACCTACACAGTGGTGGTTTCTAAACCTTCTCTCCAGAGCGTTGCTCTCATAGCCCTCAGTTACTGGGCCTCTTCGTTCCAAATTTCAAATTCCTGAGAGAAGCAGATTGCCCTATCTCAGGGTGACTATCCTTGACTTACTTATCTGCAGCAGTGGTTCTTAAAGTGTGGGCCCCAGACCAGCAGCAGCATTATCACCTGAGAGCTTGTTAGAAATGCCAATGCTCGGGCCCCACCCACAGGCTTACTGGACAAGAAACTTTAGGGGTCAGTCCCACAGTCCTCCAGCTTAACAAATCCTCCAGCTGATTCTGACGTGCCTGAAAGTTTTCCAACACTTATCTATAGCAAAGATTACAAAATCTTGTAGCTCAGATACCATTACTCAGTCCATAGGGGTGTGTCTGGGAGTCTTCCCAGAGAGAAGAAGTGTTGTGAACTTGGCAGCCACCCCAAGAGGTGTTGGGTAAAGCTGGTAAATCTGTCAGGGTCTTAACAGTAAAACTTGGTTTCTCCTAAAGGAGAGGACTTTGTAGAATTCTGAGCCAGCTACAGTTGACCTCCCAGTATCCGCCGGTTCCACATCCACGCATTCAACCAACTGTGGATCAAAAGACCTGCAGTGGCTTTGTCTGTCCTGAACATGTATGCACATTTTTTCTTTCCATTATTCCCTAAACAATACAGTATAACAACTATTTACATAACATTTACATTGTATTAGGTATTGTAAGTAATCTAGAG